ATGTACCGGTAGTATAGTCCACCGTGACTGTAGTACCCCTCGGTGTGTAGTGCTGAATCACTGATCTGTAATAATACAGATCAGTGTGCTGAATACTTAACAACTGTCAACCGGCTTACCAGTGTTTTATTTGTCAAAAAATGTTAGTCTGATTTTAGGCATTTTTTTATAAGCTTACCATCATATACTTATGTAACCAGTGCATTCTTTATAAGGCTTGGTTACTCTGATGACGTCATATGTTACCAAATCTTATGTAACTACATCTGACGAGGCATTTCTTTATAAGCTTACTAGAACATACTATAATAAAAAATAACAAAATCAAAACATCTTAAAATTCAAATCCCGTTTAGAAATCCCCAAACTTAAATTAAATTTGACATATGAAATTAAATAATAGGTTACCACGGTATGTGTGACGTCACCACGGTAACCACAATACTCTAACCAAGTATGTTGTAAGAAATGCCTTAAAATTATAATATACAATTATTATAGTGGACATGCAGTAACCAATAACTAGACACCGATGCTACTTTGAGACGGTTATTAACCAGTAGGTTATATGCGCATTCAGCAAAAATTAATATACCCGTGAGCTAACCGGTGAGTCTGCTGTATGCGAACAATATTCGACAATTTCGCATTACTCATGCGAGAAAAAAGCGCGGGACTTTTGAATCTAGTAATTTTCCAAACACTCTTTGCTATATATATCTTATCCTCGCCATAAAACTGTTGGGTTGGCTACGACCAACGACGAAAAACTACTAGACTAGACTAATATTGTTTACAAAAATCGAATTGCAAACATTAACGTTGTCATCCACATAGTTGTCAGATTATTAAGAGAAACTATTAGGCATTTCAACGACCTGTCAGAGAATTAGGCATTCCAACGACTTGTCCAAATCACCTACCTTGATATTAAACTGGATGGCTATATGACATAAACCCTACTCCTAATTTCTAAGCCGACATGGGTGAAAAAACGGTCGGTGCGCATGACAATTTGGACGCCAGACTGTTAATTTCGAGCATTTTACGTCACGTTTCCCACGGGCGTACTAGGACAAAATATAATATTTTTTATTAATAACGCGCTATTTTAATAATAATTATTATTATTAGAACATTTGTTTCAGCTGCTTATTAATCCAAAATCATTTTTAAGTGATTTTCTTAAATTAAAAGGTGTCATAGTTGAATGTAATAAGTGTTAAATTTAATTTTGATGATATTTTTTAGTGCATTTCGATACGCACATGTGGGCGCCAAAGTATCAAATATCACCTCGCTATGCGGCTTGGTTTTGTTGATCGGCTTTGTTCTTCCAGTTTAATATATAGTTCAGTGGTCCAAATGGCTACCAGTGAGGAGTGACAGTTTAGATATGGCAATCCTGTTGTCATTAACAGGGTCAATGATACATATATAGTTATGTAGATTGCTCAGAGCTGGTCGTTTGCGAGCGGCCATATTGCCTGGCAAATATTTATTAATTTGAGTCGGTTTAGCAAAAATATGTTTTAAAACCAATTTTCAGCATTTAGATATTTAAAAAATATTTAATTGTTTACATTTTTACTTCAAGGCATAAGCTTATGTTTATTTTGAAAAATATGGATGATCAATCTATGTAACTATCTATTAGGTATTTCAACGACCTGTCCAAATGGCTACCAGTGGGGACTGACAGGTTAGATATGGCAACCCTGTTGTCACGTTGTCATTAACAGGTCAATGATACATATATAGTTATATAGATTGCTCAAAGCTGGTCATTTGCGAACGGCCATATTGTCTGGCAAATATTTATTAATTTGAATAATTTTATCAAAATGTGTTTTAAAACCAATTTTCAGCCTTTGAATATTAAAACAAAATAATTGCTTACATTCTTACTTCAAGGCATAAGCTTATGTTTATTTTTAAAACCGTGGATCATAAATCTATATAACTGTCTATAGCATTGATTCTATCAAACCACCAGGCTCACAGTGTTGCAATATTATAACATGCCATGTGTCTGTCAGTGGCCTGTCATTTCAAACGGTCAGCTATTTTGTTTGGAATGCCTAATTGGAACACAGGGTATTAAACAACAATAAACTTTGATGATTTTAAGCGGAAGCAGAATTTGCGCATGAGTAATAGAGATCATGAATAACGGAAAAAGGTCTATTGAATCTTCATATTTCTATCGAAACTTATATTTTTTTATTTACGTTCTTGTACATACATCTTTTAAAACATTCACGGTTTTTTTATTTATATTAAATAATTTTGACATTTTGTACGCCCATGAAACTCGTATTTATAAAGACGAAATGTCATTACGGCCATAAGACAATACAAGTCACGTGACTTTAACGTTGGACCTATGGTGGACTCTTGGCAAACAAAAGAAAAGTAGAATTGTTTCATAATATATTGCGACACGTCAAGCGTCCCCTCCAATTATTTTTCGAACCTCGTGCCATGTTCCCCACTCCAACGCACTTTGGGTGGAGTTTTCGCAATATATTCCGAAACTACTCTACGTTCTCCATGGTTCTCTTGACAAAAACACTTCTAGTGAGGTTATTACTTTAAGTTTGTATTATTTTTTTGAGTGTTTAGAGTTGTTTTCGGTGTATTTAGTTGAAAAAATATTTATTTTGAATATATGAATAATATATTGTATGATTTACAATAACAGTCAAATACTAAAGAAAAAGTCAGGTCAACAAACTTTGTTGTTTCCGCCTGCATCGGCCATTTTTGTCCATTTTGACAGGACATTCATTGGATTTCTTAATTGGAACTCAGGGTAGGAAAGATAACAATAAATTTTGATGATTTTAAGCGGAAGCAGAATTTTCACATGAGTAATAGACATCATCAATAACGGGAAAGGTCTATTGACGTTTGAATCACCATTTTAATGTAACCGCGTCCCAAATTTAACCGACTTTTCAGGAATATCAGGCGAAGTGGTTAGTTTTGGACCAAGTAAACATTATTTCGGTTAATATGGACCATACTCTTAGGGGTCCGTTATTCGCCGACTACTAACCGTAAGTAACCAGTTTCGACAGCGGTTCCTGAAAAAACTGATTTCTTGGTTACTTTTGGACCACTTCCGACATTTACGTCACTTTTGTGACAGATTGACATTAGTGAATTGATGTTTGAGTCGCCATTTTCAGATAACCACGTCACTAATTTAACCGATTTTTCAGGAATGTCTAGCAGAGCGGTTAGTTTTGGACCAAGTAACCGATATTTCGGTTAATAACGGACCATACTCTAACAGTTTACTTACAAATTTGCAATAAAAACAGTCGAACGCTAATGAAAAAGTTAGGTTAACAAATTTTGTTTTCCACGACTATAATTCCTGTAATTATTGTTTTCTTAGGAAGCGCTAAATGCTGATGAACAGGTCGTTTCTTAGATTTTCCACTAGAGAGTGAATTTGAGAGCGATTTTTTAAATTCATGGATAATGACTTTCCATGTCATAGCAGTGTTTCAAAAAAATATTTTTAAATTATATTTTATTGTTGTGAATGCTGAGTTAGATATGGATCAATAAATAATCCAATATAGGCATTTTATTGTTATGAGTAAATAAAATGACTAATATAATTAATAAGTATTAGTAGTTCACAAATATTATTTATTTTATCAAAAAAATTGCTCCACACAGTAATATAAATAATAATATTGGAATTGATGATATAACATAAACATTTGAAACTAGTGTCGATTTATTAAAACCTATAATTAATGTTTTATGCTCTTTAACTAAAAATTATAAATAATTATGATCATATTAATAATGAACTTTTAAGAGTTCTTTTTATAATTTCCTTTTCATCTATTTTTTTTTTAAATTATTATTGTATCTTTGCTTTCTTATCGTTGAGGTACTAACACATGTTTTTTAATACTTTAATTTGGTGACTCCTCATTAATTTCTGCATTCTTCAAATATTCAGATATTTTCATCATAACATTTTCATGGGAGCAATTTTCTAATTTGCCTTTAAAACGATTAATTTTATTTTTAAATGTGCATAAACTTGTTGCCTATGCTGTAGCTACGTTCTTCGACAGTAAATAAAGTAATGGTCTAAGATCAGAAGTAAGGACGACCTTCACCCTTCTGTTTAATTAATGAATTTTTTTTTTATTAAATTAACTATATTTATAAATATACCGCAAATGGGTTGCCTAAGAAAATACGGTCCCGACTATTAATTTTCTTAAAGTAAAAAAAACGACACCCTGTAAAGTATTACCCAGATGCTTCGACTATGTCCAAACTTTAATCAGCTCACCACAGGATGAATTAAAGCTTAAGTTAAAATTTGGTGTTTTTCTCTTCATCCGTTTTTCAGTTATATTCAAAATTTGTACTTTTCCTCAAATATCTCCAATTAGGTCCATTTTAGAGAAATCATGTATAGGGACAAAATAATAAAGAATGATATTATAATCAACTTTTTTCATGATTCCTATACTTTCCTTATCTGTACACAGAAAGGAAAGTAAAAAATGGCCGTGACCATATTTTCTTAGGCAACCCATTTGCGATTTATTTAAAAATATATTTTATTTAATAAAAAAAAAACATTTATCCATTAAATAGATAGGTGAAGGTCGACCTTGCTTAAGGATCCTGGACTATAAACAAAAAATGTGCACGACTCTCAGCATTTAGCTCCTGGCCTAATTCTTTATTGTTTAGGTTGCCACGTTGCCATGGTATAATTATTTGAATGGAAATAAATAATAACGTATTAGCAACTTTGTTTCAACGTTACTATCATGGCGGTTCATTTGAAAGACGCCCGCAGTTACCTGCAGGCAACTAAAATAGATTTAAACGCCAGTAAGCAATATTTACCTATTGCAAAGTAAGACATAATAGCAGTCAGTCCAAAAACCTCTAATTTAACTTAAAATTTAATATTATCACGCTATTCTAAAACTAAATTAACCCGAAAATCATTTACTCAATATATCCGGACTACACTGCCGTAAATTTTTAAAATTTTTAATACTTTTCAGCTCCTTTGTCCCGTTGAACGTAAAAGTTACGTCGCAGTTGCTCAAAGGGTGTGTCTCTTTCGGACTGTTAGGGGTTCCCACGCCACTGTCTTCGGAATTTGTTGGAGAAATTTTGTTCGCGTCAAAATCGATTTTTTTTGTTAACGCGTTCGATATTTCTTCGTGTTCGAATTCCTGGACCGTGATATCGATTTTTGCGTTATTTAATAAATTGTTTTGGGAATTATGTTTCTGTTGAAGTATGTTGTGGTGGGAATTCGAGAAAAATTTTGAAATTTTTTCCGCTGAGTTACTAGGAGTAGTTTCTAAGTTGGGTAAAATATCTTTATTTTGACTGAGACTGTTTGTTCTACTTCTGTTATGCTCTGAATTGGGCGGCAGATTGATTTTACCCATGCTCAGAGATTTCTGCATCATTTTATCAGGTGATTTCTGGAACATCTTCAGCAGGTTATTCTGTTGAGGTTTAACCTCACTTTTTACCCTTTCGCTGAAGTTTAAGTGCGATAAAATCCTTTGTACGTCATCGGGAATTTCAACATCAACTTTATCCTCTATAAGTGAATTAATGAAACTTCCTAACGTGGATATAGTCACATCTAATGCCCTGTTTTGCGTCTCAACTTTATTGAGTTGCGATTGTTGTAATACCCTCATTTTTTCTAACCTTTGAACATTGCTTAAAGTGAGCTCTAACTGCCCCATAAGGGCCTTATTTTGTTCCGTTAGGATTTTGTTTTGGGCTTCAAGTTTATGCAACGCTTCGATTTGCGGTTGTGCTGAATTCATTTCCTCTTGTAAAACTTGATATTCGACTTTGTATTCATTTAACTGTTTGGAGAAGTCGGTGGTGTAGACCTAGAAAAAAATAATAAATATGAGCAAACTTTAATAATTAAATTACCGCTAAATTTGTGATGACGTAATTTTGGTTCCACTAATAACAGTAGATTTGTTTTTTTTTTTGGGTTCTGTTCATAGATCTCAGAAACCCTAGGTACAGCATTGAAAAATAATTGTTGAACCCTACTTCCTGCGTGCTATGATAAATGAGTTTTGGAGGCACAAAAGGATGGCGCTATTCACACGAGAGGATCGGCGCACTGTTACTGTAAAAGATATAAGGAAGGAGTAACTTTTGATATGAAACTTCACAAATAATTTTTTTATGGTTAATCGCATATTCTATATCAAAACATTTTCGGAATTAATCATTGAAAACTATAGAGAGGCCATCTAAAGTGTCACCTTTCGCGCATGCAATGGTCATGAAGTAATAAATAGGCGTCTAATGAAATAAATCGACTGTCAAAGTGAGGCCATGCTGTCGTGGCTTGCTTTGTTTTATATTTTGAAATAAAATTTATTTAGGATTTATAATACTTTTGTTCGTTTCCTTCGTGCGTGAAGAATCTTTCACGCATTCGCACACTTAAAGCTTTGGCTTCTTCATCTCTCATGCATCCCGCACTTGGTTCGTAAATAACTATACGTAATTGGTTCCACTGAAAATTATAGTGACAGTATTTTTTGTGTGCGTTTTTTTACCTAAATTATATTGTTTTTAAACTTTTATAAATATATTTCTAAGTAGATAACATGCATCAAGTATATAATCATTTAGTAACCAATTACATTTAAACTACTTTTTATGACCTGCAAACAATATTTAATAAAAAATAAAAATAGTAAAAATATATATGTCAAATATTGTTATAAGTATGGTTAGAATTAACTGTCAACGGAACCAAAATTAATAGTGGATTTTATTTCTTGTTCTAGTGTTACACTCGCACTGTATATGAACTGTCATACTTGTCAAAAGTATATGCTACACAGGGCTGGTATATCTAAGGGGATCGCGACATAGGCCCATTTTATGAATGAGGGGGTGACTGAGGCTAGGGGAGAAATAGTTATCGTTTGTCCTGCAGTAATACCCAGCTAGCACAAAAACATCCTATCTACGTTAATAAGCTGCAATTTTAGGCTCTTTAAGCTCGCATGCGATATACTTTTAATGTAACCTTAATATCCCTGCAACCGCCGAATGGCCGCAACGGCAAGACTTTTATAGCACATTTCACAGAGGTTACAAAGTGAAGTTTGGAAAACATCATACTAGCACTTTTACGGTACTTACCCTGAAAGTTGCTCTCAAACTTTCTATAGATGTTATAATGTGAATTAGTTCTACAGCATTATACAGTGTGTCCACGGATGGACTTACCTATACGTGTGAAAATATTTATTTTAAATTAAAAAAGTAATTCTTCATAATTTCTTTTACTTGTTAAATAAATTCGATTCACATTGAGAAATTATGAAAAATAACTTATTTAATTTAAAATAAATATTTTTATAATTATCATTAAGTCCATCCGTGGACACACTATATTGTTCTTTGTGTAATGTAACACAGAGAGGTTGAAATTGAGGTTATAGTAAAATCTCAATCGAGACATGGAAATTTCAAATAAAACAAAATATACAAATTTATTATTAAAATGTTCTTGAAATCAAGTAGAAATAGGTTTGTTCGTAGAGACAGTTTCAAACGGTTGCTGATTTTTTTACGATGCGCATACGTAACTTCCAACGGTTTGGGCAGTTTGGGATTTATTGTCATTTTTATGCTCTGCAAACGCATTTTATAGAGTTGTGGATTCGTCTCTATCTATTCTCGTATGTTAGATACAGATTTAGTAAACGGGCAAAAAAAGAAGAAATTATTTGAATTTTGACAATATATGAGTCACAGAATGACCACGTATGTGTTTTGTTTATGAATTGCACCCCACTTTATCAATATATTTTACTTCCATTACCTGTTATATTTTGAATCCTTCCATCATCTTTTGAAGTTAAAAGCTGATATTTTATCAGGATAATGGATGGTAGGTCTCTGTGGTCTTATGTATTTGTATACTTTATTAAATTTTATGTATGTGTATTAATTTACAATTAAAAACAACTAATCCAATTAACAAAAGCACAGACGAATGATAAACATATAAATTTCACGCCAAACAAATGTCAAATAATTGTAGGTTATTAAACATATTATTTCACGTGCGCATTCCCCGGATTTAAAATCCGGAGAATAGTCAGGGATTTTTCCAACCGTTTCGAATCAGATGGAAATCACTTCATTTGTTTCTACGAACGCCAAACTAATAATTAGAAACTATCAGTGATTCTTCTACGAACGCAAAATATTCAATGCACATGCGCTGTTCAGTTGGAAACGGTTGTGGATCGCTCTACGAACAAACCTAATATTACAAAAGTAGAGGTAGGTATATCACAAACGCAGTTACAGAAATACGATAATAGAAGCCACCTATAAAGCACTGAACGATTGGATAAACTTAGCTTAATAGTATAAGGTATCAAAATTTCAAAGGTTCACTAGAAGTTTAAACAGTGAACGATTGTACAAAAATATATTTATATAAGGTACGTTTCAAGATGGCAATTGTATGATGCTAAAACTAGATCGGTGAATAATAGACGATGGCAACAATGAGTAGGTATATATTAAACGAGATAGCTGAGTTTCCTAATTTCTTATCTGTAGACGCAGAGATATATCATCTTTTTTAAATCAAGCCTTTTAACTTTTTTTTTTGTATAGATATGTATATATTTTTATTTTGTTAGTTTATTATTTATGCAAAGGTAAACAAAAATTATTTTATTGTAATTACATGTGACTTGGATATATTTTTATTTATGGTATAATGTAACAAATATATCGTCATATTGGTGGTGAAAAGAGCTAAGCCACACACTTATTAATTTGAGAAAATGGGTAAATAAGTTTGTAACTCTTTGGTTAAAATAACTTTTGATTTAAATCTTAACTTTTTATTCACTAAATATGATAACATTTGGTACAAACGAAAAACCCGTCCTTCATCTTAAGACTGATTTAAAAACGAAAGAAAAAGAAAGGTATGTCGCTTAAAAATACTTTACCACTGAAAGAGATATATGTATTTTCACCTTTTCATTTAGTTTCTTTCAGTTTGTGGGATTTTAAGGTTATAATTACATAATCGCTTATCTCTCTTCACCACTGTATTTTTCAGAATTGTTTTATTTATGTGATATAATAAACTCATTTTGCCTAAAAATGTGGCTTAGCTCTTTTCACCACTAATACGAAGATATGACAATTTATTAGAAGAGGATAAATTATATTTATACATAAAAATATTTTACTTCCACAACATATTGAATAAAAAATCTGATGTGTCCAACACATGACTTTCCTATCTAGTTATTATAGGCTTTTTCCGGTTATTTTGTAGAACCTATTGCAGCACCTCTATAAATGTTTAGAAGATAAACTAAATATATACATTTTCCACATACATCTACCTCCCAACATTTTTCTATAGATATTCATTGAAAACGAAAATACTGAAAAATTTAAATTTAGCACTCTTCCTCCAATTTTTCCATTACGGTCCATTTTAGAAAAATCATGTATAAACAAAAATTATAGAGATCGATATCGCAAACAACTTTTAGTTCAACAATTTTCATAAAAATCAGAATTTGCACATTTTGTCAAATTTCTCGAATACGGACCATTTCAGGAAATTTTGACATAAAACAAAAATTATAGATAATATTAGAAGTAACTTTTATTTGAATAATTTTCTTCTCCAAACATAAATAACAGACATATTCCATAAAATATAAAAACGGCCTCCCATAAAGTACCACCCCAGATGTTCCGACTTTGTCATTTCACGTCAGGCCGAAATAAAACTTAAGTTTAAAATTTACGGTGAGATTACAGAACGTCTGCAACTTTGCAGATCTTCAAATATGGCGGCAACTTTGAAAATCTGCAAATATGACTGACTTACACATGCAAGTATCAAGTTTTCGTATTTCAAATTTGGGTTTAGTATTGTTGGTGGTAATAAACCACAATAAATATTGCGAATTTGCAGATATTTTTGGAATACTTGCATTTGTAAGTCCGCCATATTTGCAGATCTGCAAAGTTGCAGACGTTCTGTAATCTCACCCTTAATGTTTTTTTTCTTTATCCGTTTTTGAGTTTTTTTCAAAATTCAAAAATTTACACAGTTTGAATATGATGTTTTTTTTCAATATAGACGTGCCATGTACCTAGCTGTAGATTCACTTTTTATAAAATATCAGGCGTTATATATTCTTCTTTAGACAAGTCTGTAGAACTTACTTTTGCTTCTAAAATTCCTAGAACCTTTTAAAACAAACCAAACCAAAACAGCACAAAATTGAAAGTGATTTACTCTTCACGACGTATTAAATGTGAGATTATTAATAATTGATTAAATTTAAATTTTTTATCCCGAAAAATCTGGGCATTTTATAATAGAAATATAATTTTAAAAAACGGTAATATTTTTTTTCTATATTGGCAGGCCTGGCGACTACATTTTCGAAAAAAAATGGTGTCCAAGATGGACGATATGTCCCGACCAATGAACTGGAGTGGGGTAGAATGCTTGTCAATAGGCTTTACATGCGACTCTATGGGCAAAGACAGGTTATTTTTCATCTCACTCGGGAGTATTTATAACAACCACTTTCTATTTCACTTTGTTATTGTCTGATCCACCAGCATGTGGATTGAACAATAACAAAGTGAAACAGAAAATGATTATTATAAATACTCCCGAGTGAGATGAGAAATAAAAATGGCTGCGCCCATAGAGTCACATATTGTTTTATTGATACAATATGCACATTGGCTTTCTACCCCACTCCAGTTCATTGGTCCCGACCGTCTTACAAATACCAGCCCTGATGCTATACCCAAATATTTAAAGCTACACTGAACAAATCAAATACGATTAGTGCAGAACAGTTTCACCTAGTGTAAGAAATAAAATCCACTATAAGTCACACTTTTATGGCGTATTGTTACGCATTAGAATAAATCCCGGAGTAATATCGTCTCAATATTTTTCCAACAAACCAAATATACCTGTTTCCCCAAGAAGTTTTGCAGGTTCAAATAATAACAGCATCTGACTTTTTTTTTAAGTCTGTTTACCTTTTGAACTGACAACTACCTATATACTTCAAATCTATATTAATAATATCACGGTAAATAACAAGTGCTGTTTCTTAAAATTAGAACTAAGAAATGGAATATGATACAAAATGATATGACTTACTTGTTTCATAATTTTTTCTAAACTTGTCTTGTCAATATTAGGCAGTTGAATTTTCAAATAATTCATGATTTCTTCAAAACTATCACACAATAGCAGTTTTTCTCTGTGATAGGTTAACAGAGCTAAGGCTACCTTGAAGATTACTTCGGGTCCTTCCATAAATATTAAATCTGGAATAAAACAGTAATTTAAATTTTAGATAACTAAATTTCTTATTTCGGAGGTCAAATGGCGACTAAAGCACAGTTTATAGCTTAAAAGAATCAGTTCGCTCACTCGGACTAATTGGATGTTCCAAAATAACATCCACTCCAGGGATACAAATTCAGGATGCGCAGAAGACTGCTGTGTGAATATAGGCGGTTGTCATATATTGTATTAGGCATTCCAAACTCCGAGCAATTACTACTAGAGGGAGTCTTCCCCCCTTCCCCGCGCTAAATTTTGTTAGCAACATCTACTCCCCCCGAGGGGGAAAATACCTCTTCTGTAATTGGCTTATTTAATCAGCGTTGCCAAGTTTGACAGCGCCAGAAGTTTTCTGTGAGCGCCAGTTCTGACACTTTCTGACACATGTCAATTTCTTATTTGTATTTTACGGAAAATATTATTATTTATAACGTTGTAAAGGTTGTAAATGTATATTTAAGATTTATTATCTCTAATAATATGGTGAAAACATGCTTTATGTGTAAAAGGCCTGTTGAAAATGCTTCTTCAAGATAATATCATAAGTAAGTACAGACACAACCTAATTATCAGAGGCGGTGCATTAGGCAATCACCTTTAATTTGCAATTAAACTTCTTTATTTTCTTATCGAAAAATAAAAATTAAGAGCAAGTACACTCCAGCTACGTTCGTCTTCATCCGTCTCATAATGATTATAGTAAAGGTTAATTACTTATTATTATTTTAATATCACATCTTTGTAAAGTTTATTGTTATTTTTTTTAGGTTTCCTTTTCTTGATATGAGAAAGAAATACATGGTTACAAAATATAGGAATTCAACAAGTGACCACCTGAATAACTTTTTATGCTAATGCATTTTTATTACAGATCTCAGGGAAGGCAAATATTAAAGAAAAATGCAATTTCGACAATCCTGTCACTACTTCTACACTATATTCATCTGCTACTAAAATACTAAAACAGCAAGTAAGTAGAGAAACTTAAGTTTCTTTCAAAAAGAATGTTTAAGGAAAAAGGCATAGCTATTTTTTTGTTGACACTTTTTTTTAACTAATCTAAAAGACTAATTTTGTGTATTGTTTAAATGTTCATTTTTTGTACTTAATTTGTTTTAGGTTTAAACTAAATGAACTTCTAAGATATGCATGGAATATCTCAAAAGAGCTAAGGAAGGTTTTAAAATTCTTAAGAAAAGTATTCAGAGCCAAAAACATAAAATAGTCTTCCTGTCCAAAATATAAATAGGTATAAATATTTAGATATTATGAGTGATTTTTTATTCTAAGAATATCACATTATTCATGTTTTTTTTTAATTTCCTTAAAAAACGTCCCAAAAAAATGTGAATATTTATTATTGGAGTTAACATCGTTATGCTAAAACAATACTAGAACAACTTAAATAATGTGGATTTTGACTATTTTGAGTTATGCAGATCATTATGATCTAAAATAATGTTTGTCTGGTGCTATAGTCAGGTATAAAAACATTCATTTATTTAAACACAGTTGCAATATACATTTTATTTAGTTTTAAGTTAAAACCTATTAGGACATCCTAAAATTACTTTTTTCGTTTCATGTGAGATTAATTATTCTACATTTTTGTTGGTGAAATAGGATATATTAAGATGTCTTACTGTTTTCTCTGATTATCTAAAAAGTTAGAACAATATACAAAGACTGTTATAACAAAAAAGAGATATACCTTTACTGAAACACACAATTAGTCAGTTCAATTGTACGATAATTTAAAGCAGAAATCCAGAAAACTTTAAAAATGTGTTTAAATGTGTTTTTACTATAACAAGGACATAATTATTAAAAAAACTTGGCACATTAACATTGACGATGGGTTTTAATAATATATATTATACAAATCACAACGAACTACATAAAATGACATTATTAATAATTTAGTAATAAAAAAGTTAAGTACAATGATGACATTAAAAGTTGAGTTTCTCGAAATACTTTTTTTAAATTGTCTCAGTAACTACCTAGTATTTTTCTAGCACAATGATATTATATGAATGTGTATTGTGTGATATCTTATATTTTAGGAATAAAATTATATATTTTTTTGCAGGTTTCTGTTAACAACGATTCCAAGAACTTTTGAAAATATTAAAACGGCATTTGCAAATATAATTCTCAATTAAGAGCTTTTGATCTAACATTAAATTTTTATTCTCCATAAGGTTATAGCTTCCTAAGAAGAAAGTTTATCAAGACTTACCAGACTCAAAATATCAAAATTTTACCAACCAATTGATGGTTCTACTGGTTTCCATAGGAAAATTCTCCTCGAAACTACTAAAAGAAAAGTGGCAGAGGCAACCGAAGAAGGCAAAAAAGTCTTTTGCAAAACAAAAACTAGAAATTTGTTTAAGAATCTATTGTTTGAAGTTTTACAATTAATAATTTTTGATAACGATTTAAGATTATAAAGTTCTATTATGAATTTTACTCTTTGATAACCTATGTTTAAATTTTTATTAGGACCAAAATAAATTATAATTTTCACTTCAACTACAAAAACCCTCATAATATTAAAAAGGGGAAAAACGTTAGATTAGTTATGTTCAGGAATAAACTCTTTAAACATACTTAAAATGTGTTACTTTTAGAAGGTATGTTATTAACTTTCTATTTGTACTTGTATTAATTTATTTCATTTTATTATCTGTTGTATTTTCAAATTGATTTTGATATTAATCTTATCTATTTGTATATTTTTTATACTCACATATATGTTTTTTTCATTAAAACAAACGTTTATTAGCTTATTAAATATAATAAATTCATGTTGTTTTATTATATAGTTGTATGAATGATTACTTTTATTTCCTTTTAAAAATGAATTTCGAAGATAAAGCCGAAACGGTGAGTGAGAATAAAAATTAGACGAAAGTGACGATATTTACTGGAGCTTTCATCTACACGCTCCTTTTTCTAGCCATCTACACCTGAGCCAGCAAGATTCGTCTTCCCTCCATCCTTAAATTCTCCAGATTTACAGAGAAAACGCCGTCCTCTTTAACATATCCAGACCTTCTTTGATGGGGACTATACCACTACATTATCAGCTTTATTTGTTATCCCGAGCAATTTAAATGCATTCGTAATTGCTCATTCTCACCTCTTCTCTTGTAGATTCCGTACTCAGTTTTCTTATTTTTAGTTACGTTTGCACTGCTCTTTTATTTTCACAGCTTTAATTCTATAATGCTGTAACGCTACAATATGGATCCATTTATGTGGTTTATACTATTTAATGTTATTCGTAAGTGACCAACCTATTATAATAATTAAAGATTATTGTATTACAGGCCTGAAGATGTTCCTGTAAGGCCGAAACTAGTCGCTCCTGTATTTATAATAAAATTTATTTTAAGGTTTTATTCTTCAATTGAAAAAATTAGACGTTTACAGTGATTTTGTTTCTTTTTCTGCATTAGACATATATATGACGGTATTCATTTTAAAAATAGTAAAATTAGCAAATTTTTTAGTTTTTTTTTTACAATTAAAACGTTTGGACAATGTGTGTTTTTATAGATAAATGATACGCCACTGAACAAGAAGGATGTTTACCTTCCCCCTTGTGCCCGCTTCCTCACTTCCTCTACAGATGTTGCTAACACAACAATCGCCTACAAACTCGTTTTCACGCTCCCTCTATTAGTAATTGCTCGGAGATTCCAAACAAATGAACTGCCAGTGGGAGGATTTGATATATCCAAGGGTTGCGACATACGATATATTCTGTTTACAATACGTAAAATCATGAATAATAGATTACATTTAAATATTTTATGTCAAACACAATAAAAATAAGATACATTTTTCATAAATTGGCAGGCTTTGTGACTATTATTTCGAATAAAAAAACACGTTCAAGATGCAAGACTATGTCTCTACCCCCTTAGATATACCAGACCTTCTCACTGACAGCTATTGTTTGACAGGTCATTCGAATGCTTAATTGGTAATAGTAAGAGAGCCCAATGCAAATTACGACTGCCATCTGATAACAAAATGAAATATGCTCCAAAGACATGTAACAACATTGTACTTTACCAAATTGAACCTGTGCCAATCTGTAATCCAGAGCAAAGTGGTTAAAAAAAATTATTTTATATTCAAAAATTACATAAGACATGACAGCGATAATGGTGTTTTCTCTGAAAATTACAATCCTAATTCATTGTGAACCTAGCTTTTAAATCTGAATTATTAATATTTTTACCTAACTTTGGCAGAGATATTCAATAATAATTATAAACTCTTGTTAGACAATTCTTTTAAATCATAATCATGATAGTTTTTTTGTCGTTTCTATGACAACCTGTAAAAATGAATCACAACAATAATCATACAAATAAATTATTAAATCAGCAAAAATTGATTCATATTTTTAATGATTTTTACCTACTAATCGTGTGTAGATGTTTTTGTGCGATGTTAAGAGGAAGAAAATATTTGCCGTTAACGATATATATCAAGATATATTTGAATATGTTATTATTTGGAAAACTTTAAGGGCAAAAAAAATTAGCGCTGTCATGCATTATGTGATTTTTTTAATATAAAATATTTTTTTTAAACACTTTGCTCAGGATTGGGATTGTCACAGGTGCCATTCGGTTAAGTACAATGTTTTTACAAGCTTTTGGGGTATATTTTATTTCATTATCAGATGGCGGTAAAAATTTACAGTGGGCTCTTGGGCTATTATGATTTGATTATGTATGCGCCAGGGATACAAATCCGAGTTGCGCAATATATAAACTGGAACATTGAGATCAAAAGTGCCGACGCAGAGTGAGCGAACTGATTCTTTTAAGCTATAAACTGTAACTAAAGATTCAAGCTAAGCGAATAAGCGATACGCCCTCTGGTGGGACATTTTAAAAAGATGTTCCAGTATTGCCAGTCATATCGAAATTTCGCTACGGTGGCGGTTTTCAGCTCT